ATATAAGTTTTTAAGATGTTTTCAAAAACTATATATTATATATATTTTTTCAAAATGTTTTCAAAAACTGTATATTATATATATTTTTTCAAAATGTTTTCAAAAACTATATATTATATATATTTTCAAAATGTTTTCAAAACTATATAAAATATATATTTCAAAAATGATTTTTTAAAAAACACACAGAAATTATACGATATTAAAAACCTTTGACGAAAATTAGTGTCTAGTTGTGATTCTGAGAATGGCTGTTCTTCTTATTTTTTTTTTCCTCTTTCGTTTTTTCTTTACTGTTTTGCTAATGATGATCCCATTCTCTCTATTTTTTCCTACCTTATATTTTGAATGCTCTCTGGTTGATGATCGAAAAATATCTCCTCTTTTGTGATGAATGTTCCCTTTTTATGCATGCATGAAGGGATCCTGCCAAATCATCCCTCTGTCAAGTGAAGGAGCGTCATGGGTGCCCTTGCCACAACAATTTTGGCAGGGGGAGGACCACAAAAAAGGGGGGACCATTATGTTGTTGTTTGTTTTCTTCCATGTCGTTGTCTTCGACTAAGATGGTTGTTGTTGAGGAGAGGGAACCACCGGTGTATGCACGAACGATCGTATGATGGCGTGGTTGAGAGAAGGTTTTGGAAGGTGGTGCACCAAAGGAGTCAGGGTTTTCTAAAACCCCTATCTCTTGCTTCCATTCTGGTCTGTTGGATATGATTGCTGAAGATCCAGCAGTTGTTGATCTCCTTACGTTGACTGTGGTTAGAAAGGGTTTGATGAAACCCTAGTTACTGATGCTTATGCATCGTTGGATCTTCTTCAGATCTAACAGCTCTTGTTTGGGGCGCCTAAAAGAAAGATGGAAACCCTAACAACACTTGGGTCTTGCACGTGGGCCTGTCTTGGGCTCTTGATTGAACGTGGACTGGGGTCAGTTTTTTAGGCATTGGTTTGGGCCAACTCTAATTGGGTCTTGTTGAATACATTGCTTTTATACCTTTCATGTAACAAAAATTAATATTTATTTATTTTATTATTTTAATACACATTTAATAATTAAAATAATTATGTAATTATAATTAAAATACAATAATTAATCTGCAATTAACAATCGAATTATATATATTTAATTAAATATAATTATTTAGTAATAAATATACATATTAATTACAACTAAAACCCATAACTAGTAATAATAAGAATAATAATAATGAACCTTTACGCTTAAACAACACCTACGTATAGATATAAAACTAACCTAATTTATTTAATATATAATAATATTAGTTAAAGAAAATTGACTAAAATTCAAACAAGACTGAAAAAGTTAAAATTTTAAAATTGAATGATTAAAACTTCGAACGAAAATGGGTGTCTACAACTTGCTATTGATGAATATATGCATGACATAAATACACTTACTAATGATGATTATATGTATGATATACATGTGCTTGCCACTAATGATTATTTGCATGATATACATGTGTTTGTCACTGATGATTATATCTATGATATTTTACCCATGTTGATGATAGATTAAGTATGTTATTCGGGATAAGACCATTGTCGGATTAATGGTTAATAGTAAGACTATTATGATGGGAAATACTTTAAATATCTTAGAGTGGGATTAATGGTTAATAGTAAGACTATTATGATGGGAAATACTTTAAATATCTTAGAGTGGGTAATTATTGTACCTAATACGTTACAAACTTAGAGTTGTTGAGATCACGAATATGATAGAATGTGTAAGGTAATATGATGAGAAAAGACATGGTATCCTCTAGAGAACGGGTAAGTATAATAAACTCGATTGATAATGATAAGACTATGAGAACCATTAAATAATGACTTATGTTTATAAATGACTAGCATGTTGATTTTATGACACTCATGAAATATAGTAGGGTCAATGTGTTCTTATTGGGATTTAATAGCTTACCCTTTTAATTATTACCTCTACAGGTTTAAGTTTCAGGGATCACGATGGGACAATGATATTATTAGAAGAGTCTTAGTGGGAATACCAGAGTATAGCGATTTAGACTTGAGTGGACATGTAGAGATGGAGATTTCACCCAAGTTTATTGTGTATTTTGGTTTTCAAATAAAGGAGCTATGTCTTTTCTAAATGTTTATATTTTTTCTATACTAACATTCTTGGTTTTAACTTTTTAAGTAAAGTGTATTTTTCTGAGTTTTAATTTGTAGGATCACTTCAGTGGTTCAATGTGACATCGTTGATTCAAATATGATTTTTGGGTCGAGTTGAGGGTGTCACATTTGGTATCAATACCTCAAGAATAATATTGATACTGTAAGAACAATATCGATATTATTTACCCAAAAAAATTTTGTGTTCAAATTCAAATTTTATAGACATTGAATTATTTTTGAAAGCTTTGAATAAATTTAATTAAATCCAAAAGCATTTTTCCATTAGATATTTTTATATCAAAATAGGTTTAACAAAGATCTACTTATGATGAAGGTGGTGCAAAGAGAAAAGTTAAATTAGGGTTCTTGACGAGGTAGGTGAAAAATTCAAAGAATCGGATGCATTTAGGAATAAAATGAATAAAAGATAAAAAATAGCAAATATGAACAAAGAACAAAGAACAAAAAGATAAGAAAACTTAACTAAGATTAAAGTTATGGCCGAGAAGTTCCTAAAAAAGAGTTGAACAATATTAGATTTAATTGAAAGATAATGAATAATGGATAATGAAGATAAACAAAAGATAAATAGAGATATTAAAGAAATTGCATTGACTCATATTAATCCATCAAAAAGTCATGTTATACTTGACAAGAGACATTTCCTCGTTTCATTAGCTAATCTCATATCAACCTGCCCAAATAGACAAACCTTGTATTAGTCCTCAAGTGATAATATAATCTCAAAGCTACAAGTTCTCTTGGAAGGAAGATCTCGCGGTGCATTGCGAATGTTAGGTTGCAACTCCACTCCTCAACCAACAGTGCGATATGGGACCCGCAAGCCCTAACTTATCCCTAGATATTATTCTAGATAGACATTGTATCATCCACTTGATCTCAATCAGTGTCGATACACCAAAACTCCATATAAATCCTAGGAGAAGGTCGCTTACACTATGATAGCTCCACATGCTAGTTCAGGGTGAGAGGGATGGTGGAGACCCCACACCAAATCAATTTCCCCAAAAGAACTAAAACTTATCAATTATGATACCAGTAGTCTTGGAACGTTTGAAACTAAACCATTTCCTTGTCAGGTCCTCTGTTGTCATTCTTCAAGTTTTTCCTTGACTCACGGTTGCCTTTCTTCAAGCTTTTCCTTGACTCATGATCGTATCTACTCGGTCACCATCGAATTATTATCAAAGTAATGTATATAATTTTAATATAATCACAATAATTTTATTTTTATTATATATACTGCAATCTGATACCCATAATAATCGTTCTATATTTTCAAAATAGTTACAATTGAATTTGAAATCCTATCAGTAATTTAAGTTTCACCGGTATAATAACTACTCCCATTACTACTACTATTTTTATAATTAAACAAATCCTACAACCGATACAAATCCATAATATGCCAGCAAGACGCTTAACAAAAAAAAAAAAAGCACGATACTTGCGTTTACTCAAATCAATCCGACAACCCATCTAATTCAACATTTGCCAACAAGACACTTTATATTAAGTACAAATAAAAATAGGGTAAACTATGCAAGTAGTCCCCTTTGTTTTTAGTATGACCTGTTTTGGTCAACAATTTGAAAATTAAAGATAAATAATCTCTTACATTATCGATCCGTCCAGTTTAAGTTCCTAAAAGAAGCAAAAGAAGAGTAGAGACAAGCTGATATTGTAAAATTTGAAACTTCAATAAATCTTAAGATCATGAGAACATCCAAATTCAAGGTGGATGGCTAGTGGTTCTAAATAATAAACTGCTTTGTTCTGTCCGTTGGTATGATTTCCATGTACTGGAGGTCCAGGGCATGTTTCTATATTTGCAATTGGCTCTTATACTTATGAAACTCAGTTTCAGCACCTGCTTTCTCTGCTTCGTTTTACTTCTTCTGTCGGTGTAAAGAGAAGAAAGATATATATGGAGAAATGGAGGAGAAGAAGAAGAAAGGCAGAGGGAGAAAGACAAAAAGGAGAAGAGAATGAGGAGACACGTGAATATTCATTTAAATTTTTTAATTACCACGTTGGATTTTTTTTAATATTTTAATTTCTACATTATTTTCTTTAAAGGTTTAACAAGAGTTAACAGTTGAAGGACTAAATTTGAACAAAATTATAACACTAAGGACCATAATCAAACATATCAATAACCTTATGAACAATGTATCATTAATTTTTAAATAGATGATCAAAATCAGTAAAAAAAAAGGAACTATTCGCTTACTCTACCCATAAAAAATGACACAAAACCAAGTACTTACGACCCTTCAAACTTGTTTAAAAGTTAACGATTAATATAGTACTTTATACCATTAATTTATTTAAGGGTACAATTTGTTATCCAACTTTTTTAGGTGCAATGAGCATATTTAGCTAACGTTTTTTAAATTTAAATTTAACGCCTGTAAAACATTATTACTAACCTGTAAGACGTTAAAATTAAAAGAATAAATTATAATGTCAGGCACCTAATTACCCCGACAAGAACTTGAGGTACCTATTCGTGAAAAGAAATTAACCTAAGTTACTAATTTCACAAAACTTAATAGGTACCAAACTGCACAAAAAAGTAATGCACCACAATGAACATAAATGCCAAAAATAAATAGCAAAAGTTGCATTACCCTACTAATTCCTTAATATTTTTAGTATAAATTAACCTAGTTAAACAAACTCCAACTTAATAGACTACCTTTTTAACTCAAAATCAATAGCAAGTAAACATTTCACACAATCACTACCATTCAACAAGTACTACTAATGTGGCATAAGCACAGAATAAGAACTAAAGTGGGAAAAATAACTGCAATGAAAACACCAAACATTTTAAAGTACTTGGGGTGATGAAATGAAGCACCCCTCTTCACACAAAAATATGTCCCGTACAATTCGATTATTCTCATCACATCTCTCTTCTAAATTAAAATTAAATTGAAGCAGGCAAAAGGCTTGGAAACACCAACCACAATCCAATCACTCGCTAAGCTTAAACAGAGGCCATGTGTCGGATCAAGTCGATAACGCGGGAACTGGGACACAAGAAGAAGTCCATTAGAAAACTCATACAAGCATACAAGTCTGATTGAAGGTATAGTACTTAGAGCTACACAAAACCGGAATTAAGACAAGTATAATTTACCTGTAACCCCACTCATTGTCATACCATGCAACCAGCTTAACAAAGTTGTCGTTCAAAGCAATTCCAGCCTTGGCATCAAAAATGCTTGACCTGATAATAAATTGCATAGAACATAAGTTCCAATTTCCTAATCTAAAACCCTCGGCTATGTTACTCGGACTAGATTTTCAAATATTTCAAACTCTTAAAAAGTCATGTGAAGCATAGTAACATAAGATCGTATGACAGGCCAGAAAACCAACATTAAAAAGAATTAAAAAAATCATACCTGTTGTCTCCAACAAAGTCAGTTGAGACCAAATCTTCCTCTACATAACCAAGAATTCCCTTCAAGTTAGTTTCAGATTCCGCCCTGTGCACAAAAAATGGGTCAGAAAAGAATTCAAAGTGAGCTATCTTAAGGACAACTTAAGGTATGATTATAAGATAATTATTCTAATCATTACTTGATTGCAGCCTTAATGTCCTCGTAGGTAGCCTTCTTCTCAAGTCTCACAGTGAGGTCAACCACAGAGACATCAACAGTGGGAACGCGAAAAGCCATTCCAGTCAGCTTGCCATTCAATGCCGGCAAAACTTTGCCAACAGCCTATATGATTACATGATAACCATCACTATCAACCATCAAACTTCAATTCCAGTAACAACTTGCATAATAAAGCATTTGAGAAACTAAAAATTAACATAACAAATACCTTGGCAGCTCCAGTGCTGCTGGGAATGATATTGAAAGAAGCAGCTCTACCGCCTCTCCAGTCCTTCATTGATGGACCATCAACAGTCTTTTGTGTAGCTGAATAAAAAGAATAGAAACATCAGTCAATAATATGCAAATGGTTGCAAAACGAAGTAAAATGATAGCTTAAGTACTAACCAGTAATAGAATGGACAGTGGTCATAAGACCCTCAACGATGCCAAATTTGTCATGGATCACCTGCCACCGAGTTAGAAGTATGTCATCAACTCAAAGATAACAACTATAAGCTAGACGCACAAATAAATTTACTAGGAACAAATATTACCTTGGCCAATGGGGCGAGACAGTTGGTGGTGCAGCTAGCATTGGAGACAATGTTAAGATCAGGCTTATATTCCTTCTCGTTGACACCAACAACAAACATGGGAGCATCCTTACTGGGAGCAGAAATAACAACCTTCTTTGCACCACCCTGAAAAGCAACAAAGCATAACTCGAAATAAGAACACCAAACACAAATATAAGAAAAATAATTAGGCTCCAAAAGTAAAAAAAATTCTGCCTCTTGGAAAACATATGTCGGGTAAATTCCAATCAACTTAGTTCTAATAAGACCATAAGTGTACATTAGCTAAAATTAATTTCAAAAACCTTCAAGTGAGCAGCAGCTTTGTCTTTGTCGGTGAAAACACCAGTAGACTCGACAACATACTCAGCTCCAGCCTCAGCCCATGGGATTTCCCCAGGATTTCTGTAATAGACCAAAAGCCAATCAATAAATCAGATTTTATATGATAAAAATCCCCATGCCCCTCTTTCCTTAAGAAAAAGAAAATATTACCTGATACCAAAAACAGTGACGGGCTTTTCACCAAAGAGAAGGGTCTTGGAATCCTTCACCTTAAGCTCATGGTGCTTCCATTGACCATGAACACTGTCGTACTTAAACATGTAGGTCTATACGCATAAAATTACCAAATCAAATCAGCAATCAAAATATTTAATAACTTGTATAATATAATTATATGAAGGTTATTCATGTTAAAACTAGCATTTGAGTCAGATTGGGAAAAATAAGTTCAAATCTCAGCCAGATCTACCTTCAAATAGATCTATCATCAGTTAATTTTTCAAAATCAAGTGAGCAAGCATAACAGTCAGATCAGAAAAAATAAGTTCAAATCAGCACTCCTCTCAGATAACATCTGTTCTACCTAAAAACTTTTGACACAAAAATTAATTCAAAGAATCGACCTGGTGGAACATGCAATAAAGCAACAGAGCTAAATCTACAAAGTAAAAAAAAAAACAGAAGTAAACACACGAACCATGTAATCAGTGGTGATGAAAGGATCGTTAACAGCAACGAGCTCAACATCATCACTTTGGAGAGCAACTCTCGCAACCAAACGCCCGATCCTTCCAAATCCTGCACCAACCAGCAAAAGAAAATCAAATACATGATTAAAAAAGTTTTTTTTTAAAAAAAAAGCAGCAAAATTGATTTAAAAAAGTACAAGATATTACCATTGATTCCGATCTTGATCTTTCCCATAACGGCAGAAAAAAAAACTCAAACAAAGACGACGAAGAAAACCTGAAGATGGTGGAGTGAAGCTATGATTGAATAGTTACAATGGAGAAAAATGAAAAGATAATAACGTTTATATATGCGTGCAGGGTCTGAGACCTAACCAGGGTTGATGACGGAAATTTCTAGAAGACAAAAAAGTTGTGAAGAAATCGGAGCCATTGACCGATTTAATGGTCATCTCGTGATCGAAAATTTTTAGCAAACGATGGAAATGGTACAAATTCAAAAATATGTTTGGATAGAAGCTATACTAATGTAATTATATTATAAATCTTATAGTTATTTTTTATTAAGTTAATGTGTTTATAAAATAATATTTATTATAAATATTCTCTTATTTGACAATGATCGGTCAATTATTTTGTCAACTCTGCTGGTGTTTAAACTTATGACCTTTAGGAACAACAAAAATTTCTTTAATCAATGAGGTAAATTGATTCTTGCAAATCTTTTAGTTATTTAATTATATTTAATAAATATAATATAATTATATCTTAATTTTTATATACATTCTAATTATATAATTATATATATTTAAATTTTAAATGATAGATATTAAATTATCTATAAATATTTAAATATACGATAATAAAATTGTTAATAAAAATTATTGAAATTAAGAAAGAGTTTTATATATAATATATATTATAAAATTCTAAGTATAATGAAAATAATAATATATTATAACTTGATATTTTAAATATATATATAAGAATTTTATGTACATCTATAAGAAGAATCTTAATGTCTTAGTGTTATACATAAAATGTTATAATAATAAGTGTATTGTTTTAAATAATCTAAAATTAGAATATTTTATATAATCATTCACAGAAAAGTAATCGCTTAAGATCATATAATGACTACAAGCAAAATGATAAAAATTCGTCCAAAAAAACTCAAACAAAATAAAGATGTGAATAGATCTAACTACATCAACAAATGAATCACAAAAAATAGATTAAGCTACTGAAAGATCACTGACAATCGTAAATCAGAGTTGAAAGTCGTGAGAAAAATATCTTCAAACGCAAATCGAATATCCACTATATTTATTAGTCGAGACGATGACAAATAACAACCATATTAATCAATCAAGAGGATGTCGAACAGTGTTTTGAAAACCGGATCGGACCGGCCGGTTCAACCAGGAACCGTTGTCTAGTCCGATTCAAACTACACCGGTTGAACCGCTACTAGTGAACTGGTCGGAACCGCTGAACCGTTTGAACCTGACCGGCTGAAAACTGGAAAAAACCGAAAATTTTGTTTTTTTTTTTAAAATTTAAACCAAACAACGTCGTTTGTTAAATGAGCCAAGTCGAATTCGAGTATTGCTGAGCTCAACTCAAACTTTAAAAGTAAGCTCAACTCGACTCAAACTCACGAACTAAAAATTATCAAGTTCAACTCGAAATATAATATTGAAACTTGAACTCGAAAAGGCTTGAACTCAAAAAAAATTTAGAAGCTCGATTGAAGCCTAAAATTCGAGCTTGATTGAAGTGAAAAAATAGTTCACTCTATGCTCACCAAAATGCTCCATATTTTTGAATGCCAAATTACCTCTATTATTTATATAAGTTAATTGGGATGCTCTTCTATGTTTCTTAGCCATGTAAGATTGTTTTGTTCTCATATTTTGACTCTTTAGACTTTTGGGATGTTCTTCTATGTTTCTTAGCTATGTGGGATTGTTTAAAAAAAAAATAAACCAAACAATATTATTTTGTTATGATTTTTTAGCCCCAAATTTATTTTTTAATTATAGTTATATAATTATATTTATTATTTAATATGTTTTACCTTAAATATTATGTTGTAGTTAATTTGAATCATTTTGTTTCACTTGATTGTATGGTTTTTAACTTATATATGTTACGACTTGCTTTGAATATGACTTGTGATATACAAAATTATTTTTTATTAAATATTTTTGGTATTTTTATTTAATTTTTTAAATAATTATGACGTCGTCCGGTTCTTCTGACCGGTCGAACCGGTTTGACCGGTTGAACCAGTGAACCGGTAGCATGACCGGTTCGCTAACCAGTACGGTTCTGAAAACCATGATGTCGAATTCAACCCTAAAAAAATTAAACAATGAGATCGATCAAACAACCAATAAAAAAGAAGAAAGTGTGCCAAAATATAGACGGAAACATGTTATGAATACAAAGTTATTAGAATCTAAAAGAAAAAATTAAAATATATGATATAGAAAAATAAGAAAAAAAATAATAAATATTGACATTCAATGATTAGTACCAAAATTGATACTGAAGTTAGTCAACCAAAATAGAAAAAAGACAACGAATAAAACGTTAAGAAAAAGGAAAAACTAAGTGTGCGTTTGGTAAATTTTTCTAAAAAACACTTTTAGCTAAAAAAGCATGCTTTGATCGCAAAATCAATGTCAAATGGAAAATTGAATTTTTTTTATAGAAACAGTAGTTTCAAAACAATAGTAAAAGCTAGGATTTCTAGATTTATTTATTTTTAACTTTACGTTTGGAAGTAAAATATGTATTTACATTTTATTTAATAATTTTGTTGAGTTAATCGATCGACGAAATAGCCAAGAGGGGAGTAAATTGACAATTAAAATTTTGGTGGAAGCTTTTGTAGAAAATAGAAAATGTTTGCACATCGATTTAGAGTGGTTCGACTTTCTCAACCAAAGTCTAAGTCCACTACCTTAGCTATCCACACTAAAGATTTTCCAACAAATTCACTAATTTGTTCTTTCTTTTGAGGACAAAGAGTAACCTTACAACTCCCTCAAGAATTATACCCCAAATTCTTGAGAACACTCTCTCCCAAAGAAAAATACACAAATTTGCAAACTTACAGAAAAACCTCACAAGGCAAGATGTTTGCATAATTCTAGAATAAAGAAAGAACACTAAAAAATGAATACAATTGAGCACAATAAGTGTTCTCGAAAGCAAAATGAATATTGAATGAAAATTTGGTTTAAAATGCTCAAACTTGAGGTTTGATGTTTTATCTTTTATTCTCTCTCAATTATTGTTTCTTGTTATTGATCAATGACTCTTAAGCTTGTCTAAATACACCTTGGATCACTTCTGAACGTTGGGGATCATTGGTGAAGTCAATAGAGTCGTTATTGTGTAATTATTATTTAATAAAATAGTTGGGAGTGTGTGTACATCGATGCTCAAGGTGCATCGGTACAATGTGTGTAAAATTCAAATATTTCGACCATTATAAGACTTAGTGCATCGGTACACTAGGGGTGCATCGGTACACTAAGTACATTCGATGTTCCAAAAGAGCCAAAAGTGCATCGATGCATGGTCCGTGCATCGTTACATAAAATGCATTCGATGTTTCAATAAATTCAATAGTGCATCGATGCATAGCTGTGCATCGGTGCACAAAATGCATTCGAAATAGGGCGTGCATCGATACATCAAATAGTGCATTGGTACATCCCTTTATAAAATTGATTTTTGGCTCGATTTTGGTTCAAAATACTTTGTAAAAATTGTTTCAAAAATATTTTAAGTTTAAAAACACAATTTTACACTTTAGTAAGGATTGAAATTGATCTTTGAAAAACTTGGAGTATTATTTTGATATTCGAATAATTTAATCGAATATACTATTATAAAATCTTAAAATTCAATTGCACTTAATTTGTTATATCGAAACATCAAAATGTTTTGAACAATCTACTCCTTTTTGATGTAGCAAAATATTTGAGTAATTTTAAGATTTTCTTTTGAAAAATCATTTTTGAAAACAAAATTTTGATTACTCCCCCTTACTATATTCTCCCTCTTTTTGTTAAATAAAAAAAAACTCTATAAATGTTTTTAAAACAAGGTTTTTTTGAAAACTTAGCCAATTGATATTTAGAATTTTAAAGTTTAAGCTGCTAGGAACACAATCAAGAGAAATGTTAGCCATTAGTTTCATAAATCAATATTTATAAATAATGTGCAATGATAAATTGGTCATATTTCAACTAAAATGTAAATGATGCAAAAATTAATAAACAATAAGTTCAAATTAAAAATTCAACTAAACCAAGTATTCAAGTTTAAAACATCCAATATCCATAACATCCAAAACATAAATCCAAAAACATTCAAAATGTTTTAACAATGAGTCCTAATTTCGATCCAAGAAAACTAAAGCAAGACAAGGTCTAGTCATCCAAAGGAGGATTAGGAGGAGAAGGATAATGTGCTCGCATCTCGAGTGTGAGGTCATCTAAACGTTCGCGCATCTCCCGTTGAAATTCCAATTGTTGAGCCACCATAGCAGTTAGATGGGACTCTATGGATGCAAACCTTAGATCAAATGACTCCACAAACGATCGAAAGTATGGAGGCATTTGTTCCTCTTACTGTGTTGGCTCGTCCTCGGGTACGTGATCGTCGATATCTTTAAATAGCTCTTAAAGCTCTGGATCATCATCCGCTGCCGGTGCCGGAGGAGGTGGAGCTCGTGTAGAACTAGCTTCCCGGTGTTTTCTCAGTGGTTCGAACCCATTGATCACCTTCATTTTTCCATCTCGATTTCTTTAAGGATGTGAAGTTGATTTGGTTCTGGAGAGGGATGGGAATATCAAACGAAACCTTAAGCCCGAGTTTGATAAAAAGATTACAAAGGAGACAGTCGTAAACTAAAGTTTCTACATTTTTAGATGGGACAACGTTTACGGTATCTACTAGCTCACCAAAAATAATATGTGGCAAATTTATTTTCTTGTTATGTTGGATAAAATGTATCCACCATAAATCTAAGACTCTAAGAGAGGAGTACCTACCTTTGGATGGTCTAAACCACCAAGAGATCATCAAGTGAAGGAATCACTCGTGATGAGTTCTTAAGGTACTAACAATATCCTTAGCTTTATAGGGAGTAACCACCATTTCTCGTTCATTATCTAGACCCTCGTTATCTAGTTCAAAATGGGTAGCGATTGTGTCGGAGTCAATAAAAATGAATTCACCTAAGAGATAGGATCGCATTCCTATAGTTTTGGTTTGATGCTCATTTTGGACACAGACCA